GATTAATCACAAAGCCATTTTCAGGAAATTTTACGAAGTCAATAGCATAAAAAGAGTTGCTCTAATAAGTTTAGCAAATGGTTTTGCAGAATCACCGGAACAGACTCCAGGTGTTAAGGAGGTATGTCATATACCAAGTTCTGAAAAGTTAAGTAGCCAACAGATAAAACCCAACAAATTCTAACATATACGGGTTTCAAACTTGAGATTGATGCCCATGCAGAAAAGCTCCTGATACAGTAACTTGGCACCGTATGGAACACTTACCCTCACAATATCATCTGCAGACTCGCACAACCTGCAGTAGGGGCCTCTGATCTTGCGGCCACCCTGCACCGTCCGTTGTATCACACTTGCTACATTTTCGCACTTCTGGCAGACGTGCATCTGAGAGGAATCACTGAGTGTGAAGAGGCGCTCGTGCAAGTTCGCCGAGGCACCATGGGCAATGAGGCAGTCCCGCTCCATCTCCCCAAATTTGATGCCACCAAATCGTTTCCTGTCTGCAACTGGTTGCCTCGTGAGTGGGTGGACGGGCCCAGTATTTCGGAACTTAACTTTATCTTCTGCCATGTGTATTAGCCGCTGATAGAATGTCGGTCCAATGAAAATCATCGTTCGAACCATCTCACCAGTTCGGCCATTGTAGACTCTCTCATTTCCCCACCTTGAAAATCCAGCTCTGTCCATAACATGTATTCAACAAAATGTGAATCAAAGTAGCATCCTTTTCAATAATGAAAATATCAATCATAATAATAAGATGGATTTTTCTAATATGTGCCCTTAGAGGCACCATTTTACAATAAATTTATATAAGAAAATGTAAAGGTAAACATTAATTTTAAAGTCAATGCCACATAGATAAATTTAATTAGATAGTTGATAAATTAAATGTTACTTTTTATTTTTTCAAAACTCTTAACCTATACCCTTAGTGCACATGTTAAAAAAACCCTAAGATAAACTACCAAAAAAGTTCAAGACTTATATTTTGAAAAACAAAGGTACAGTGCATCCTTTTGCCATCCTCAGGATGTAGAGCTAAACTAAGATTTACCAGAATACATATACGCAAAAGAACCAAAAAGCAATCAGAATCAACATAATTTCTTACGTTAAGGGGGAAAAAACCCAAGAAGGCATTACCATGATCTGTGTGAGATGAGCACAAACGCTACAAAACTCAGGGCAGATAGAGTTACCTATGCAGCTGCTCAGTGATGGCCTCAACAGAGAGAGTGGAGAATGGGGTGGCATGTCTCAATGACCCACCACAGGCAATACCCTTTGCCAAAGCAGCCTCCAAGAGTTGGCCTGGCGTTTGCCGTGAAGGAAATGCATGCGGATTAATTACCACATCAGGGACGATACCTTGTGCTGTGAAGGGAAAGTTCTCCTGAGCCTCCAGAAATCCAAGAACACCTTTCTGTCCATGCATGCTTGAGAACTTGTCCCCAAGACATGGAGTACGAACCTGAAAGATTCCAGAAGTGCAACTGGTCATTAAAAACCTAAGCTGCTGTCATGCATTACTAATAGAATGGACAAGTTTAAATTGACATAAATCCTAGATCATCTTTTAGCACAAATAAAGAAACACTTGGGAGAAATTAGATGCAATATTCCAACATGCGTGTGTGCAGGCACATGTTACAAGATTCTTCCAAATGCAGGCTTGGTCAAGAGATAGGATCAAAAGGGCAAATATATTGTATAGACAGTTTCATCACCTGTCTCAGAGATACCACAGCAAAATTTTTTCCATCATCATTTGAAGATAGAACCACCTTCTGAACCAGGCCTCTCTCAGTGTGCTTCAGTTTTATACTGTGATCAGCCCCAGATTCAGCACACTTTCCTATAACAATATCCCCACTCTGCAGATTGGCACCGATGAAAGGAAATCCATCATCATCAAGGCTATCCACCCGTCCAATCTTACTCTGTATTTTCCCAAAACTTACATGGTCCTCTAATTTCCGCCTTTTCTCCTGAATGTCCTCCTTGTTATCAACCTCTGCTTTATAACTTCTTATGTGTTCCGAACGGAACATCCCACGCTCTAGAGAGGCCCGGTTCATGACCAAGGAATCTTCTTGGTTGTATCCAAGATGGACGTTCACTGCCACAATAGCATTCTGGCCATTGAACAATTCAGGCTTTGGCAGTATTCGAGTCTGACCCAGTGATCCACCTGTTTGCCCAAGACAGTCAGCAGTCATTGTCCGAAAGAGTGGCCTTTGTGGGTAGTAGAGCTGGTGTGACAGGGTATCAACTCGTATGTTCGGATTTGTGGTAGAAAACCCAATTGCCTGTTGACAATGCTTCTGCGATTGGTAAAGAACCCTCCTAGCATGATCATGATTTGCGAATGGAATAATCCCACAGCTCAATCCCAACAGAAACGACATATCAAGTTCACAGTGAGTATACTTGACACATTCCTTCCCTTCATCCTCCGCTACAAGGTACTTTATACCCCATGCAGTACGACAATCCTCCTCTTCTTCGCATCCAACCAGCTCGATTATCCCCTTGTCCAAAAGAGACTGAAAGGTGTAATTTCCCCCTTTAAATGCTTTGATCTTCTTGATATTCTCAACTACCAAAAGAGGACGCAGAATCCTTCCAGCATCAGAAAAGATACGGACTTCTCCTTGCTTCTGATCCCTTTTGATTTCCACCTAAAACAGAAAAATCATTATTGAAGATGTAAGGCAACAGTAATCAACCCTACCTACAGCACTAGAACAACTCTAATAACAAGTACAAAAGAAGAGTAAAAAAAAGTGTAATTTATACCTTTTCTAAATTTTTATATGTTTTAATCAAATATGTCCGGAAAAACACTCTAGGAAGTAGATCATATGCCAATAGATATGACTGATATTTTAGAGAAAAAAATCAGGAGTGTTGAACAACTTCCATATTACTGCAGCACAGTATTTATGGAATCCAAGATCATGATTTTGATTGTATTGTAACCCATTTCAAAAAACAGAATAAATGTTGGCCATACAACCCTTATTCATGTCAGAGCATATTGATCAATTACAATGGATGAAAACAGTGTATCTAACCAATATTTATAGCAATCAAGAAAGAAGAATGTGTTAGCTAAAGCTCACAGCTCCAATTAGATTGGAGAATGGATTATACAATCAAGAAAGATTAAACTCTAGACCATCTACAATTTAGCACAGGTTAAAAATGTAAATTACTTTACCATCATAAATTTCATGGTACATGTTGTTTCTGTTCACAGCCCACAAAGATATTGTTGCAGTATTAAAATTTAGAGAAAAAAAAAAAAATTATGAAGCAAAAGTGAAATAGGGACAACCTGATGTGGAAATTGTTTCTTCCGCCGCTTTCTTCTCAACTCAGCTGTAAATGAGAGTGAATCTTCACAAACACCAATCCACTCTCCATTCAGAAACACTTTACATTTCCTGTTAAGTGAAGTTGTAGCATCATCCACTAGCTTCTCCATACCACAATCAAACAATGTATCAACAAAGGGTTCCAGCGTGTCTGTACTAACAAGCCCAGTGATGGCCAGATTTTTCACAAGCCCACAATTTTCACCATCTGGGGTAGAAAGAAAGCAAACTTTGCCCCAGTGAGAAGGGTGTCTGCATTTAGAAAGCTATGTTAGAATAAAACCAATTGACAACCACAGCTTTCAAACATCACAACCACCCAGAAATCTCAAACAATTCAAATCTTTCAACATAATCATTAAAATAGAAACAAAATGAAGGGAATAACTAACGCCAAAAGGAACCTGTCTGCACTCTATTTTTCAGTTATCTCAAAGTTCAGGTATCATAAAAGAGTATCAAGTGGAGATTTTGTAGTTGAACAAAAATTTTCTAGCTACTCAAATCACACCAAAAGTAGAAAAAGCATCCACCAGTATAGCACACATATTACATCATTACATCATAAATCATTTAACCAACCAATCAACTAAAATAATACCTTTGCTTCAAAAATTATAATAAACATTGACAACACATGCATGAAATGAAGCAAACACAAGACCAGAAATAACTTACGGGTATCTGGCATCTCCAACCTTCCCAGTGTAGGCAACCTGTTGGCGTGTTTTCCGTAGATCAATCAACGTCTGCAGAGGATTTGCCCGCCCAAGATTTGCAACAACACCAGAAATCCTTTCCATCCTCCTAAAGGGATGTGACCATGCTCCAGTGGAAAACGCTCTGGAAAGACCATTTGTGATAATTGATGCATCCAGATAATGCTCAATGGGCCGTGGAGAGCGATCTGGATAAAGATCTCTTTGCAAAGCCTTGGCCATCCGTCTCCTTGCATGAGCAATATGCACTTTTAGCTCTCGTTCAAGGAGCTCACCAGCCAACTCTAACCTCTTATTTCGAAAATCATCTCTATTGTCACATTTTCTGCGGCCAGAATAGGCTTGTAACAGACACTTGACCATATACCCAAGAAATCGAGCCTTTTGTTTACGGCCATGAAGAGCAGGAAAAAGATACAAGGCTATGCACTTTTCAACTTCTTTTTCCTCAGGTGGAAATTTGGTCTCTTGTATTAACTTCTGTAAATGACCAAGAGCTTTCTTTCCTCTACGAAATCCTTCACATTTGTTATCAGCATCGTGTATTGAGGCAAATAGTATATTTGATATACCAGCATCAGTGTTCTCATAATCAATCAGATCCACAACTTCTCGGTCTGATGAGATTCCAAGGGCAAAAAATAAAATCCACAGAGGAATCTCAGTGGATAGGAAATATACATTTAGTACTTTCTCTGCTACATTTAGTCCTTTCTCTGCTCCCTTATTGTCTTCAAAATTTGAATTCCCCACAAGTCTAATAATTAGTCTATTCCTCTTCACCTCTGACTTGTATGCAACTGTCCAACCCTGGTTATTTGAAATCCATAGTCTTTTCATGCAAATTTGCTCTTGAGCAACAAATATCTGCAATAAAAATGAAATAAACATCAGCCTCCCCTTTGCTTTTGAAACAAAAAAGCAATTTAGCTTTAATCCACAAATTGCATAGGACATCCAAATCATGTTAAACACTTATAGATGCAGAAAGACAGATTGTTTTCTTTTCGCTACAAAGAGGCAGTTGCTTAATTATGAACTGAATAAATGTGAGGCCCTCGCCCAAGAAACACCATGTAAATCAGCATCACGGCAAAGAATGACTTCCAGAGGTCAGAGGTGCTCGCCATTGCTATGTCTATCAGTTTGATTTTTTCAATTTTCTTGTGATAGAGTAAATAAATGTGTTGGGTAGAAAGAAGAAATGGACTAATAGAGCAAACTCAGCAAAGTTCAATAAATATGTTTTCCAGAAATTTGGAATGAAGCTATTAAATTGAGACAAAAACCACCAGAAATTACAAAGAAATAGGACCAAAGTAGAAGAACTCAATCAGAACAAGCAAATAGATGTCCTTTTAATGGTTTATAGACCACATATCAGTCAATCAGGTTAACTCTAATTCACCATCTCGAATCTCATAAGTAGTTTTGAAGTTAGTAAGGAAAGATATAGGATATGTTTCCATACCAATCCCCATCAGAGAAAAAACACAAAACTTACAATGAATCAGCTCCAAAAAAAAGTTTTAAGAAATTAGCACAATTAAGTGCATTAGACTTCTCATGTCAAATATAGATCAGATAAACAAGGACAGAAGTTAAAAACAAGTTAAATTCACCTTCTCAGCACCCTTGATCAGAAAATAGCCACCATGATCAAAATCACAATCATCTTTTTCCGCTTCATTCATCCAACACAACTCTGATCTTACCATCACAGGGATACTCCCAATTATGATTTCCCTCACGTCTTCATATACAATGTCATCCTGAAGAAATTGCTCTTGTCCAGTTTTAAACTTGTCACTCCTAACAAGTCTCTTTGTATATACCTGACAGGATACAAGGAAGGAGAATAGCGAGATTAAAGAACAATTTTGAAATCAGATAAAGTATTGAACAGCAGCACTAGTTCAGTTAATGAGAAAAAAAGAACAGGGTAACTATTGTTTGCTTAAGATTTAGTAAGGTTCAACACATTCAACTCTCAAAGAAGCTGATCCATAAGAACAGAGTCTGAACTATTGAGGATAAAAGGACACGCTGAGGGGCAATTAGGAAAGCCAAACACTTCCAATACTCTTTAAGTTTCCAAGCCAATTGTGCTAGCTTCTCTAGCAATCACAGTAAGAAAATTATTGACATCCTTTAGAAGGTTAGTTTCAGGTAAACAAGAGGAACGGGAACATAGCATAATCTTTAACTTCACCTGAGTTCTCCCCTAGATTCATAATGGCATGCCATTCCCAGAAAAGTGGTCCATTGTTTTCAAATATCACAAGAACAACATAGATATTCATCCAATGATCCAAGTTGCAAATCAAAAATTCAAATTCAAAGCCTTGCATGCAATAAATTTAATATTAACCACATCAAAAGTTACCTGTTCTAGCATCTTATACTGATTAATGAAAACTAGGAAATTTTTGTATTACTTGTTTACCTGAAATGTGACATTAACTTTCATCCTGGATGAATATGTCATGTTTTGAAGCCTGGCATGCCTGGGGAGCAGTTTTTGATCACCTGCTCCACTAGCAGTGAAAATGGTAGGCCGATCGAGTGAGACCCTTCCAAATGTCACAGAAGCATAACGTAACTCACCACTGTCTCCCTTCTTTGATGGATCATGGCCAGGTTCAATAATAATCGTACCAAAAGAATCAAAGACCTTCTGGAGACCATTTTTAATGAAATCATTGTACGAGTTGATCTGATGGCTAATCAAACCATACTCCTTGAAGAAAGACATAGCTGCCTTTCGACAGAAACCTTTTAGATATTCTTCCCCCAGTTGTCGCACACTGAAGTCATCAAATATATCATCATCATCATCATCTATGTCCATATCACCCTCATCAGACAGCCTGTCCTTGTCATCCTTACTACTCGTTCCTATCTCTTCCTTGGAAGACTGCAACACCCCCATTGCACCAAAATCTGGGGAAAAAAAAAAAGAGAAAAGAAAATGAATTAAAATCATAATCATTAACTGAGAGTTTAGACCCTTTTCACCCAATGGGAAAAAAACAAAGAAAACAAAAACGAAACACACACATTTCACATTATAAACTACATTTTGAAACGTGTAGCCCTGTTCATTTAAAAAAACAATTTCTGCAATGCAACCCATAGTTCTTTCAGATGAGCAAAATACCCAAGCACTCAGAAATTTCCATCTTAAATCAGTAAACCTTAATATTTAGCTTAACCACCTCCATACAAACAGAATCATCTCAACCATCAAATAAAACAAGAACGATCATATAAAGTCAAGAGCGAGCAAAACCAGCACGCTTTAAACTGCAAAATCCCTCGAAAATGTCTAACAGTTCAAAATAGGTTACTACGTGTGAAAAAGAATCCCAAACACCATCGGTGTTTCAGACGTCCTCGACGCCATAACCCTAACACACTAAACAAACCCAAAATCTAGAAGAATACTGAAAATAGTTTTACAAACGAAGCGAAGAGAGCCGAGACAGAGACAGAAGACTTACATTCAGCTTTCTCCTTGAAGCAAACCCTAAAACACTGACTATCTGCTCGTCTTTTTTGAAAAATCTGGAATTTCTAGGGTTTGTACTGTAAGCTTCGCACAGGATCAGTGTGTTGTTTCGGGAGTGAGGAGTGAGGACTGTGTTTGTAGAAAGCATGGGGGAAGGGAGACGATCGAGAAGAGGACGGGTACAGTGGAGCCGTGTGTAATGGCGGTTATGCCCCTGAACCTTCAACTGGTGACAAGTAGGTGGATGCTGGAGGGGTGTTATTGTGAAACGTTGAATTATTTTCCTTTTGGCTTTTGTGCATTTTTCTATTTTGGTTAAATGCTAATTTTGGTCTTTCAACTTTATTGAGTTACACTTTTTTGGTCCCTAAATTATTTTTGCACTCTTTTGATCCTCAACTTTAAGAAGTACACAATTTTACTCCTTCCATCAATTTAGGCCGTTAATTCTATCCATGTGACATTTTTTATATTTTTTTGATGAGATAGATAATCCAACTAGAAAAATTGATAACACGGATAATCTAACTAGAAAAAATGATCACATGGATAAATAAAATACCACGTCAAATAAATTTTTATATTTTTAATAAAAAAATAAAAAAAACTTCTTTACCTATCTTCTTCCCCCTCTTTCTTTCTCTTCTTCCTCTTCTTACTGTTGCCTTCTCCTACTGATCAAACCCAACAAAGCTAGGATCCACCGAACCTTCTCCCCCCTCTTTCTCTTCTTCCCCCTTTTGCTCTCTTTCTTCCTTCTCCTACTGTGACCCACTGAACCCTTTTCCCCCTCTTGCTTTCTCTTTCTTCCTCCTCCGACTACTAGGTTCGTTTGAACCCAGTTCTAGGTTCCACGAAACCTAGCGTTTTGGGTTCGGTTGAACTTAGATCCAAGTTCCAAAAAACCTAGCGATCTAGGTTCGATTGAACCCAGATATGGGTTTTGCAAAACCCAACGATTTGGGTTCATTTGAATCCAGATCTGGGTTCAAGGAACCTAAATTTCTGGGTTTTCAAACCCATGTTTATAGATTCTTTTTTGTTTAGTAACTCTAGCAATTTCTATGCATATATTGAACCCTTTTGTTTGATAGATTTTTGTGGTTGTGAAATGACAATTTAGTATTATGAATGTTGCAAAATTTTGTTTATATGTTTTGGTTTGACTATTTCTGTTGTGAGTATGTGATCATTAAGCTGGATTGAAGTAGTATGAATTTTTAATGTTTTGATTTGGTTTTGTTGTAGGGTTAATTATCGGCGTCAAAAAAGAAATTTTGAAAAGAGAACCTTATTAGATCTTGCTTTTGGTTTTGTTGATGGATTTCATTTTGATTTAGTGCAATAAAAAAGATTGTGTTGGTTTGAAACAAGTTTAATTATAATTAATAATTTTAAGTATATAAATTAATGAGTTGTTTTTTTAAAATTTTGCTGCATAATTCTTAATATCACCATGTAAGCATTTTTTCAAGGTTAAATGCTAAATTTGATCCCTTAACTTTAAGAAATGCACATTTTTGATCCCTCAATAATTTTTTGCACTTTTTTGATCCCTCAACTATAAGAAATGCACTCCGTTAGTCCTTCTGCTAATTTGAGCTGTTAACTTCGCTTATGTGGCATTTTTTATATTTTTTTTTATGATGTTGAGAGCAAAATTTAGAAAAGTGATGACATGGACAAATATTTTGACATGTCATGTTACTATGTGTCAAATCTATTCAAATGGATCCCACATCATTAATAAAGAAATTTGCCTTCGGTTGACATGGCACCAAATCTATTCAAATGGTCCCACATCACTAATAAAAAAAAATCTTTTGATAGACATAAAAAATTAAGTGATATTTTTTATATTTTTTTAATAATATAACAAATTAAATTAAATATTTATCCGAATAAAAAATGATATCAAATCAAATTTTATTAATTCATTATCATTAAACTATAATTATTTATATTAATTAAAATTAAGATTCTAAATTAATTTATAATTAAACCACAATTTTTTTACCAAATTTTCTTTCTTTAACGGACATTATAATTTCTCGCTAACCAATCTCGGCAACCAAACAAATTCAACGCATTTTCTCAGCATCCAAACACCCAAACCATACCATTTTCCAGCCAAACAAATGGAAACCACTAAGAATTACTTCTTCACCCAACTGCTTCGGTTCTTTCCATTTTGAACCTGCAACTTGGATAATCTCTTCGCAAACAAACATATAACAAAAAAAAAAAACAAAAAAGTGGAGCTGGGTTCGGTGGAACCCAGCAAACACAAAGGAAGAAGAGGAAGAAAGAAAGAGAAAAAAAGGAAAGGAAGAAGATGATCGAAAGAGGGGAAGAAGATGGATCAATAAAGGGTGAATGGGTAAATTTGTAATTTTTTATTTTTTTATTAAGGTAAAATCAATTTATGAGTTGACAATGAATTGGATGAGTTGATGATGACATGGCTTAAAAAAAAATTCCAAATCAGCGCTTTTTAAATTTGTTTTTGCCATGTCATCAAAAAAATTATAAAAAATGCCACTTAAGCAAGTTAACGGACTAAATTGACAGAAGGACTAACGAAGTGCATTTCTTAGAGTTGAGAGATTAAAAAAGTGCAAAAAATTGTTGAAGGACCAAAAATGTGCAACTCACTAAAGTTGAGGGACCAAATTTAGCATTTAACCTTTTTTCAATTGGATTGTCTATGTCATTATTTTTTTTAGTTGAATTATTCACGTCATCAAAAAAAATATAAAAAATACCACGTGGATGGAATTAACAGTTTAAACTAACGAAAAGACCAAAATTATGCACTTCTTAGAGATAAGTGATTAAAAAATTACAAAAAAATAGTTTGAGGACCAAAAAATTACAACTTAATAAAGTTAAGGGACTAAAATTAGCATTTAACCTTCTATTTTGACCTTTCGGCATTTTGCTATGTTAGTACATTTTTGTCCTTTAGGAAGTAGCAATAGGCGGATAGAGAATGAAAGGCCCAGAAGAATGAGCCCAACTTCTAAGTGAACTAAAATGATTTTTTCTTTTAATAATAGCGTTTAAATAGTTGGTTAGGGGTTTTGATTTTGATCCCACTTTATTCATTAAAATTTCTTCTTCTTCTTCTTCTTTTCTTTTTAATTTTTGTTGAACATTGGGGAATCACGAGGGAATATGAGATTTTTCCAAATAGTTAGTAGGAGTCGAACTCTCCATCAATTAAATCTAAATACTAAGAATTGAGACAAACTATTAAATTTGAAAGTCTCGTTTTATTAAAATTTAATTTTTTTAAGTTATTAAAATAATTTTTTATAAATTCTTTAACTTAAAATCCTCTTGTAAGTTTTTAGGGTTTGTTTCATAATAATTTTTTATTACTTTATTTTTTAATTTTTATATTTTTATTATTTGAAAAATATATAAAATATAAATTAAAATTAATTATTTACAATAAATTTAGATTTTAGATACGGTATTGCTGGGGAAAAATATTGTTTAAAGCATTCTCAAACGGAAGCTTTTATGTTAGAAACTAATGATACAAATTTATAATTTCCATATCCTTTTTTTTGGTGGGTGCACCCTACCAGACTAGTTAGAGACAATGACCTTGGCAAAATTGCCGGCCTTGGCTTTTCAATCTAGGCGACGGAGGAGATAGTCAACTTCAACATCCTTAGTGAGAGGCATCACCCAGTCTCCGTAAAGGCGACCAACCACGGATGGATCCACTTTGTATTTCCCATCTGTGGCATTGTTACCAAGGGTCACTTCTTGCCCAAACACCTTTGCCTTTTTCTCAACTCTCTTCTTCACCATCTCTTCCACTTGCTCAAATGTTAGTAACTTCATCAGAGCATCTTTGTCCTAAAAGGATTGGAGAATTATCATTAATTTCAAAGCAAGCTTACTTGGGATTCTAGTTTTAACCACTAGCAGTTACCTTGGCATGAATTGCAGGCTCATACTCTTGTGAGGAATTCCTGAATTTAACCTCAGCTACAAATTTTCCGTAATGAATTCTTCTAGAGAGGGCCTGTGCAAGAAATATGAACGAACTTCAATTGCCTGAGGCACAACTTTGAACAGAGATAAAACACAAAGCTTGCAAAGAAGTACAGTAATTTTCAAACTTTCCAGGCTATTCTGCACCTAGAGGAGTCATGAAGTAGAAAAATACCTGTAGACACTGGAGATCACTGGCTGCTGTTGATGCATAGTTGCCATCATCACCCGGAGCAACAAACAAGGGAAGCAATTGGTTGAAATACATATCCCATATGGCCTTATTTAGGTTAATGGAGGCAGCTGCGGGATATAAAATCTATAAAGTACACTGAAA